AATCATGATTTGTTGTTACTTGCTTGGAAAAGCCCCTGGTGAGAGGGCACGACCAATTTGACTCAGCCTGCTTGGAACATTTTCAATTTCTGCATTGAAAGTCTTGTGTGCCAAGAACAAACCAAGTTTTGAGTCTAAACAAACCAGGATGGGTGTTACCTATGGCTTAGCACAGGTAGGGTTTACCTAGTACAGGTAAAATGAAAGGCCCTTCTTCATCTGGGTTGTTCATGTTGAAACGAGAGAGGTAAGATACCGGTGGCTTCATGTGGGTAGGTATGTGTGGTGGTAAGAACAGGGAATTATCTCCAGGAGTAAATGTAAGGTCATTTCCTGAAAGGAAGCAGAGCGACTGGTAAGAGGACTGTCGGTTCAAAGAATCCTAATTTCCTTCCGAACACATTCCTCTAAAACAACTGGATAACCTACATTAGGTGTGTAAATCTTTGCGTGAATATAATGTCATTTTTGGCCATGAAAATGAATACAACTATAAAGTGAAGTATAGATAGATAGATAGATAGATAGATAGATAGATAGATAGATAGATAGATAGATTTCAGAACTAAAAGGTAAATTCTAAAGTTATAAACTACTGAATTGAGGCCTTCTGATCCCTTTGGAATGCCCATTCCGGTAACCGCCCTTCTTTAATAGCCACTTGCCCTCAATCATCTATGATTACCCACATCTTAAATAAAATTCCTAGCTCAAGTAATATTCACTCAAATATGGGGAAATGTGGAAGGAGGGAAGCAAAGAGGATCAATTATCTATCTATCTATCTATCTATCTATCTACCTACCTACCTACCTAGATAACTATATATCATCTGCCAATTGATTGATTAACGATTAAATCAATTTATATACAAATATCTAGAAATATGAGGGCATTGGCTTATGTAATGATGGAGGCTGAAAAGTCCCACAGTGTATTGTCTGAAAGCTGGTGAACCAAGGAAATTATGCCATAATTTAATTCGAAAACAAGGGTTTAAGAAGCTAAGGGTAGGGGTGGGGCAGTGGTTGGTATAAACCCTAGAGTCTAAAGGCCTTAATACTGGAGTGATGATGTCCAGTAGAAGGTGAAGTTCCAGCTTCAGAATTTGGATTGAGCTATGAAGCTCAAAGACCCACTGGAGAAGGTACAAGGCCAAGCTATAAGAAGAATTAAGGACGGGTGAGCGAATATTGACAAGTAGACACATGAATAATCTTCTTGCCTCTGTGCCCGCATGTGCAAAAAGAAGGGATGAACCCAAAGGTTCTTTGTACATTCTCAAATTCTAGTTCTTTTTGAGGGAGAATCATTTCTAGAAATAGCATTGATAATCTTAGAAGTATTGATATCCAGAGCTAAGTAACTGGCTAGAAGTCTCCATAAAAAAAATTAGGATTATATCTAACATAAAATAAAACCTATAGAACTGAGAACCAGGCATCATGAAGATTCTTGACATCTGAAGCAAAATTCTCACTGCATGCCTTTATAATTTATAAAACATTGTTACATAGAACAACAGCTTGCAGATTAAGAGGCTTTTTCCCCCTTGGTACTGACACAATCTTGAAGGACAGGAAGCGTGTCTTCCATTCTCCCTGTTTTATGGGCAAGGGAACTGAGTGTTGAAGCAGTTAAGATCACAGAAGTGAGTCTTGGACTTTACTTTCAAAAATCTCCCTGTAGGGGCTGGGAAGGTGGCTCAGTGGTAGGGCGCTTGCCTTGTATGCATGAGGCCCTGGGTTCGATTCCTCAGCATCACATAAGCAGAGAAAGCTGGAAGTGGCACTGTGACTCAAGTGGTAGAGCGCTAGCCTTGAGCTGAAGAGCTGAGGGACAACGCCCAGGCCCAGATTTCAGGCCCCACGACCGAACACCCCCCCCAAAAAAATCTCCTTGTAACTTCTCTTTGAAGATCCTCACAGAACAGCCACGCCCAAAGTAGAAGGAAGTCTTGGGTGGGGAGCATTAGGGAACCCATGGAGTATACTGCATCCTCACCAGGTTGGAGCAGAGGCCTACAGTTGTATTCCCTGTTTGCCTTCTCTGGGGAAGGCTTTCTTAGCTACACCAAGGAGTTATCACTGCATTTGGAAGTGGCTTGATCGTGTTGACTCCACTGGGTTGTATACTAAATCAAGTCTCTTCCTAAAAAGTTCCAACACCAGACTTTGGTGCAGTGGGAGGCTATGGATGGAAATAAGCAAGAAGTCTAGAAGAACTCATTTCTCTCAAGTATTAGATGAAGCTGGATGCTATTGCATTTTTATTATTACTATTGTTTTGTTGCTGTTATTTAGTGGTATTTGTCCCCTACACCTTATTAATTCCAAAAATAAACCTGCAATATATTCTTGTACATTTGAGTTTAATTATCTTTTCATGGACACAAATGTAGTTCTATTGTTTCTGGCCTGCACAGGGCAGACAAGGATGCTTGAATACAGACTTTTAAATGCAGGCCAATTTCTCAGATGTATTTAATGTTGTAGCCAAAAGGATCTGGCTCTAAAATGATTTTGACATGCTATCCGTGACCACTCTTTGATCCCTAGGGAACATATGGGATTCCACAGGAGCAACTGTTCCTAGGAGTCACAATGTCTCCTCTGTCCTCATTAGGAACCTAATAGGTTTCAAAATGATCGTACCGGCAGTATTCTAAAGGCTGTTTAGAATCACTTCAACCTTTGGTGATTGTTTAATACCTTGAAGGGCTGATGGCAGGACTGAGTCTTCTATACCATGGCCCATTCTTGATACATGTCTCCTGTTGAGCGTCTGTGGAACATCACGGGCTCCACTTCTTGTGTGTCCCATCCACAAGACTAAGACCAAAAGATCATATGCTCTTTTGTCCTGTACCATTTCTGTTTAGCAACACCTTATTATTTTTTTTTAATTTTTTATTGTAAAGATACTATACAGAGGGTTACAGTTACATGAGTGAGGTAATGAGTACACTTCCTCTTGAACATTGTTAGCCCCTCCATTGTTTTCCCCCCTTCCCCGAAGTTCTTTTTTTTTTTTTTTGATTGTGATTAAGTGATTACATAATTTCTAAGTCACAAGTTCATTCTAATTTTCCTGGAGCAAATTGTCTATCACAGTCTGTAATATATAACAGTGTTCACATGTTATACACCATACATGTGATCAGCAGCATGGGGATATTTAGTAGTGGTTCAACCAGATGAGCAGGAGTTCTTTGTTTCTTAAGTCCTGTTAGTTTTGTCGTATCACCTAACATTTTGGATTTAGCATCCACTTATCAGGGAGACCATGTACCGTTTGTCTCTTCGCTCTTGGCTTACCTCGCTCAACATGATTCCTTCTAGCTCCATCCATTTCCCTGCAAATGCCATTATTTTGTCATTTCTAATGGCTGCATAATATTCCATTGTGTATAGATACCACAATTTTTGGATCCATTCATCTGTCGTGGGGCATCTGGGTTGTTTCCATATCCTAGCTATTGTGAACAGTGCTGCAATAAACATGGAGGTGCACGTGTCCTTGTATATTGGTTCCTGTTGTTCAGGGTAGATGCTTAGAAGTGGTATGACTCGGTCGTAAGGGAGGTCAATCTTTAGCTTTCTAAGGACCCTCCAGACTGCTTTCCAAAGTGGTTGTATAAGTGTACATTCCCACCAGCAGTGTAATAGGGTTCCTCTTTCTCCACATCCCCTCCAGCATTTGTCGTTGGCTGATTTGTGGATGTGGGACATTCTGACTGGGGTAAGGTGGTATCTCAGAGTTGTCTTTATTTGCATTTCCTTCACCACCAGGGATGATGAACATTTCCTCATGGCAACACCTTATTATTAGAAGTGTCTAGAAAGGGGCTAGGAAGGTGGCTCAGTGGTAGAGTGCTTACCTCGCATGCATGAGGCGCTGGGTTCAATTCCTCAGCACCACATAAGCAAAAAGCAAAAAGCCGGAAGTGGCACTGTGGCTCATGTGGTAGAGCTCTAGCCTTGAGCTGAAGAGCTGAGGGACAGCGCCCAGGCCCAGAGTTCAGGCTCCACAACCAGATCTCTCCCCCCCCGCAAAAAAAAAGAAGTGTCTAGAAAACAAGAGAAGGGTCAGGATCACTAACAATTGTTACCAAAAGCATATCCAATGCCCTCTGCTCTCCACATTGGGATTGTCAGACCACAGATGCTGGGAAATAAGAATCTGTATTCTTAAATCCGTATTCTCAGCTGCAGATTCAGATTTAAGAATCCAACCCAGATGACATAATCTTTTTAGTACATATCATAATTAAGAGAAAAAAGAATCTGTCTCTTTGGAGTCTGGAGCTCATTCCATTTAAGGTGGCAAGTTGGGAAGCTGTATAATGGGATGCAACAGCATCCATCCATCCATCCATCTATCCATCCATCTATCCATCCATCCATCCATCCATTCACTTATCCATTCTTCCCTCCAGTTTTCTTCCTTCTTGAGAGCTAGCTGCATGCAGTATGCTAAGATGACTACTGGGCATCCAATGGTGAACATGGTGTTAAGGAGAAGAACATGCTTACTGGACTATTCTTTGGAGGTAGTTATTTCATTCTTTAAGGTTTAACTCTAGAAATTTCAGCTGTGTTGGCCTAGGTAGGTAGTTATGTCCAAGAGCCTGTGGGTGTTCAAGGGCTTCATTGAAGTTTGGGAAGCTCTAGCTCCCTTCTGCTCTTTGGGGCCGGCCTTTGGTTGGTGTTAAATGAGGAGCAAAGTCTACTGTCAGCCTTCTCCAGGGTACTATGCCTGGGAGGGGCCCAGGGATGGGGCCTCCTGAATGCAGTGACGTCCTTCACTCCAGACACAAAAATTTCACCATGGAGGATGAGCTGAGCTGTGAGCATGTTGCTAGGCAGTGGCTATTTATTTTTATAAATGAGCCTGATGCTTAATTTAGAATTCTGCTTTTGCTTTTTTTTTCTTTCTTCTTTCCAGCATCATCTGTCTGTCTGGCACCATCAAAGAATTACATTTTCTGACCCAACAAGAGCTGGTGGGTGGATGGGGGTAGAAAAGAGGTTGGGGAAAGGATGGATGCTAGCCAGGCTGCCTTATGGGGAGGTGAAAACATGTGGTCATGCCATTAACGTCCTGCTTGGCTTCTGTGTGCTTCATCTGTGACACCTACAGAGCCCCTGCTTGGAACAGCAGGACAAAAAGCAGTCCTGGTGTTTGTGCGTCTTCTGATGAGCCATGCACAAAATATAGCAGAACAGAAGGCAAATCCACACAAAAGAGAACTGAAGTCAGGTGCCCCAGGCAGGTGACATCTCTATTTTCTATTCATCAGAGGTAGTTATTTTAATAGAGCCACTTTACTGCAGCTACTTAGACATGTAGATATTTTGATTTGGCCCCCAAACTTAGCTGAGGATCTTCAGCCATGAAACCGTGAGTGATGACTCACACCTATAATCCTAGCTATTTGGGAGGCTGAGATTGGCAGGATTATAGTCTGGGCAGTTCATAAGACCCCTTCCCCACAAATAGTAAAAGCACATGGTGGCATGTGCCTTTTATATTAGTTATAATAGGAAGTCTAATATAGGCAGATTGTGCCTAGGTGCATGCATGTCCAGGCAGAAATGTGACCCTATCTCATGATCTCAAAAGAACCATTAAATAAACAGAATTGGAGGCATGACTCAGTAAGCATGATGTTGAATTCAACCCCAGTACCCCAGAATATATATATATATATATATAGATAGATAGATAATATATAATATATATAATGTGTATATATATACATATATGTGTGTGTATGTGTATGTGTGTATACATATATATATATATATATATTAGACATTTAATATCCTATCAAAAGCCTCATATATAGGCATCAAAAATGAGGAAACAATCAAGGATAGAGAGTCACTTAATGAGGTAATCATCAGAATTGGGAGCAGTCAGGAGTACAGGAGCTTTGGGGGCCTCTAAAGTAAAAAATAAGAGGGAAGTCAATCAAATTCATCAACTGGGCAAGAGTCAGTGATGGAATGAGAGATGTGAAATTGGTTATACCAACACAGTATTTCCTTAAGCTCACCTGGCTTGAGTCTGCTGTATCCAAACCGCTGCATGACATTTAGGGGCAAGAAAACAAATTCAGAATCTAGAACAGCTCATTTTGGCTCTCCATTGACCCACAGTAGTGTCTGACTCATTCATGACTATATATTTTGCTCTAGGGCTTGTTGTGCCTCAGTTTCCTGATAAAATCCAGATGCCTCTGCTCCCCACCTTTTATTCTTCCTCCAAGTGACATGATGAAGAATGAGCCAGCAGCTCGTAAACCGCTCCGGGCCACCTGGAGAAAGGTGCTTGCATCAATGGTGGGTGTGATAACAGATGAGTCAAGGATTTTGGAGTGGAGCAAGTGTGGCTCTGCCAGCCTGGTGACTCATGTGGACATACAATGTGGTGCCCTCGGCTGGGGCTGATGATGTGTGTGAGGACCTTGTTCCAGCAACATCAGAGAAGTGAGTGTTGGTTTTACAACTGTTCTAGAGTGAGGCGCATGCGCTGGGGGGATGAGACTGGAAACATGGAAAGAGACCCATCATTTCAGACCCATCATTACAGCCTCACTGTACTGAGTGGCCCCAGAATGTTTGTACTGTATCTACTCAACTGCACCCCTTTGCCAGTGAAGAAACCTAGCAACACTCTGCTGCCATTTCTCAGACTTGCCAAAGTTCCCTGGAGGCGGTTTCGGTGTAATTAAAGGTAGAAGGGAAAACATATTCCCTCTACCAGTTTTCACAATGATTGAGTGGATTGTTCTTAAGAAGGGAGCTTTTGCCTTGCAAGAGGAAGCCATGCTGATTTGGATGTGATGTTCTTCTAATATTCATGCAAAGAAGCAGTAGGCCTGGGGCCTTAGCTTAAGGTCAAGGCCCATCCTGGGGCCACCAGACAGACGGACATAGACCTTCCTTTAAGCCCTCAGAGTGCAGGCACAGACCACATGACCTAGACTACTTCTGACTTTGCTTGTGCCAATTTTAAGAGCCTAAAAGCCATCTTTGTGTCTGCCATGCATCCCTTTCTAAGTGCCAACTACTAAGCACCAAGAACAACTCAGTTCCAGCAAAAGGCTAGTGTTTGGATTGAGCGAGAGGCCTTTGGCTCAAAGGGAGGCCCTGGCCAGTGGCAGCAGCTTCTCACCCTTAGTGACCTTTGAATTTACCTGGGAATTTGCTTTGGGAACCATTTAGCATCTTCCTGGAACTGTCACCTACTCCACACTTCTGTCCCAGAGAATCACTCTGCTTCCTTTGTGTCTAACTGGATGATGATGGTGGCATTTCATTCTGAGCCAGGGTAGAAATACACAGCAACCCTCCTCCACCATTGCTCCCTGAAGACCTTGGCTGGGCCCCCAGAGGACATCATAGTGAATGTTATCGCCATTATGATGGATAGACTTGAGTATCTTCCACAACGTCTCATCGTGCTGTGCCATCAACTCTGAGTCTTCTTTCAGAATGAGTATTTGTTTTTTTCAACTCTTCTGTGTAGAGTTTACCCTTCAGCTCTCCAAAGTAACCATCAGCCCACATAGCTACAGTATACTGGGGAGGAAGGGACCAGCCAGAGCTTGCTTCTCTGTTGACATCACATAGGGCTTAATGACACATAGTTGGTGCCCTCAATAGTCTCTACTAAGATGTGGGGTAAGGTGCATTTCCTCACTCACCACTTTGGTTTGTGATTCAGCAATGTATTGCTTAACAAAGAGCAAAGGAAGAGGCTAGCGGAGACAGCACACCCCAGGCAGCAAGCCAGCCTGTTCCAGGTGAGAGAGGACTTCCTGTGTGTCTCCAGGAGTGGCCTTGTTTCTGCTGGACCAAAGGACAGCCTGTGTCTCAGAGTAAGATGATGGATGGGCTATAACACTTCTTCCAAATACTGGCAGGGACCAGGGAGGGTACGAACCTGTGGTCAGAGGAAAGGAGTTTGAGGGATGAGCCAAAAGGACCTCTGTTTTATGGCCACAAACGAATATAGTTAGACCAAGGCTGAGCAGGATAAGGTTTTCTAAGGGACGTTGTTTATGGTGGATCTGCTTTCTGTGTATTAACTGGCTCCTTTAAGTCTTCCTACAACTGGGAGGTAAATAGGGCAGATGTTATAAAAATCAATGGGGAAGGTTTAGTTCCAGAAAATTTAGTGTTTTGGGTGTCAGCTAAGTAACTTATTGGTGGGCTTGAGACGAAAAAAAATCACCAAACCCTCAGCTCTTGGCATCTGTTCCAGTGTTTTCCATTACCCTACATTACTCTTTTTTTTTTTTTTTTACCCTACATTACTCTTAAGCACAACAGCTAGCTCAAGCCCAAGCCATTCAGCTGGGTGGAGTTACAAAAGAACCGTTGCATATTTCCACTTGGCTGGGCTATTTCCACTTGCTTGTGCACTGATGAAGGCAAGCCTGGGTAGCTCAGCAGGGCAGAAACTGCCTGGAAGCCCATTGTTTGTGAGGTCACAAATGAAGGGGTGGTAGGACAGGATTTGAGTGTGTACACTTGACATACGAATTGGGGGTCAGGAGTTGTGGTTGCCTTAATGCCTATCACAGATGGACAGGGCAGGTCCCCTTGGAGGTCATCTACAGCTTTAAGGACACATCACGGCTTCTTTTGTGGCATGTGTATGTGTGTGTGTGTGTTTGTGTATGTGTGTGTGCATGCACGCCAGTTCTAGGGCTTGAATTCAGGACCCCAGCAATGTCCCTGAGCTGTTTTTTGCTCAAGGCTACCTAGCAGTCTACTACTTGAGCCATACCTCCACTACTGGCTTTTTGGTGGTTTATTGACCATGAGAGTCTCATGGACCTTACTGCCTGGACTGGCTTTGAACGGTGATCTGTAGGATCTCATCTTACTGAGTAGGCTTGCAGACAAAAGCCATTGGTACCTAGCCATACCCTGGCTTCTTATCTCAAACTTCTACATTTCAGTCTAGTGATTCTCTCTGCCAACAGGGATTTCTTGAGCCTTTGCAAGGAAGAAGGAAGGAGGCAATCCAGTTAAAGGGGCAAAGGCAACTCTTAACCTCTGGGGGAAGAAGTTCATGAAAATTATTTCACCTTTCCTGCCTATCAGTAAGACACAAGGTACACTGGACTAAATCATCTAACAGGTATTCAGCTTCTCATCTTAGGAATCAAAGCGAAGGCAAATGGTCCAGTTTCTGTCTCTGGAAGTACCTTTTATAAAATGGGTTTTCAATATAGTCAGGTTCCTGCTCAGACTGACAGCATGTCTTTCCAGGTCGAGCATTGCCCACATTGGTCAGGAAAACAATGGGCCTGGTAGAAACAACTTAACATTTTTCAGGTGGGAAGAATCTCACCTCATGAAGAGCAACCTGGGTAAGGAATAGAGGGTGAGAAACTAGCATCTTTATCAATAATGCCAAGATCAAAGCCAGCTTGGATCCTTCACACCAGCTGCTGAGTGGGCATAGATTGAGTGACTCCTCCTTACTGATGAGCCCCGACTTTGAGAGCTCACTTGCATCGGGCCGGTCTCCCAATGTCTGTTGGTGCAGCCACAGCACAGGACTGAGGAGGTAGCGCTCCTGAATGCTGTGCTCCTCTCAGTTCTCCTGGGTCTCAGCTGCCTGCAGATTGGACTCACCACAGGCAGACACATGAAAGCAAACGTGCGCTTCTAACATTTCATAACCCACCTCCCACAAACCAGAAGGCACCCTTCCCCTCGCCTTCTTCCCTGCCTTGTTCTTGACATTTTTAACGTGGTGCGTATACAGCCGACTTTGCTTTTACATTTCTGACACCTCCCACTTGAATTGGCTCTTAGTCCCTCTGGGCCTGAGATTCTCGGTCACGTGTGCTGCCCAGAGAGTAAGTCAGTTCCCTCTCCAGCCAGGCCTCACTCCTGCTTTCACGGTTAGCCTGCTGTTGCTTTTTCCTCTTCTGCTCCAATAAATCAATGTCAGTCAGGATTCTCTGCCTGCTGGGCATGACTGGGGGAGACTGAGGATGGGTAAAAAGCCAACACTGCCTTTCTACTTCCAGTCCCTGGTTTTTGCCTCAGTATAGAAGAAACCCCAGTAGGAGTCCAGGCCTTTTATGAGACCTGCATGAATCAAAGTGTATGACGTTTTCTCTGCTCAAACCAGAAAAGACAAGGGTGTCTCTGTGCAGGGTTCTTTCTTGCTCCTGGCTGGTTCAGCAATCTTATCCCACAGGGTCTGGTGTGGGATGGAGAGTCGCCAGCCTGAAGAGCACAGAGGCTGGGCCAATTCTGTCTCTCCAATTCTGCTCCTCCACTCCCTGCTACACTCTGGATGTGGGCGTTGGTCTAGGCAGGGAGCAGAGAGGAAGCAAAGCCTTCTAGAGCCAGGTGGCAGCCGTTGAGCAGTGTCCAATGCTGTGCTTGTAAAGGAGGGCAAAGTCAACAGAAAGAGGGCAAGGGGAAAGGGAGGGAGAGATAGCAAATGGAGCAAGGGAAAAGGGGACAGAGGAAAATGCATGCAGAGAGGAGAAGTTACAGAGAGAAATGGCTGAGTGCCACCTGCAATTCTGAGAGGCACTGACTCTATTCACCACCCACCCCTGCTATGAATTGGTATCAGGGGTTGGTAAATGTATTTTATAGGATCCAATGAAGACACACAACTATGCTTTTGTCCTCTTGAATAGAAACAAGCACGACCTACTTACTGTATCAGGAGAGATTGTGACCAAAGGGTTTTTAAACACCTTATAACAAATAGATCATTCGTGTAAATGTGAGATGGTATTTTCCTCCTATTCACCCTAAGATTCCAATACACATTACTAGCATGGCTTCCAAGAGTAGCTTTCTGAGGCTAGTTTAGCAGCTTCTTAAGGAAGTCAACTGTGGCAGTTGGGTTGAACATCACAGCAGACAAGTAGTAGGTGCTCAATAAATGTCTGAAACTGAATAAGTGAATGAATATGTGACAGATATAAAGAAAGAAATTTTAATATAAAAACACTAACAATGACTTTAAAATATTATGCTGGGCCACGTGCAGGTGGCTCAAGCCTTTAATCCTGGCTACTCAAGAGGCTAAGATCTGAGGATCATGGTTGAAAGCCAGCCCGGGCAGGAAAATCTGTGAGACTCTTATCTCCAATTAACCACCAGAGAACAAGAAGTGGTCCTGTGGATCGAAGTAGTATTGAGCTAGCATTGAGCAAAAGAGCTCAGGGACAATGCCCAGGCCATGAGTTCAAACTCCAAGACTGAAAAAAAGGGCCGGTATAGAGGATTGAGTTTTATGGACTTGTCTATAACTCAGGGCAAAACCTTCCTGGCTGGCTGGCTGGCTGGCTGGATGGATACATGCATACATGCATAAGTGCACAGATGTGTAAGTGGAGATAGATGGATGGCTAGATAGATGTGTGGGTAGGTGGATAGGTGGATGGATGTTCAGAATC